GACACCACGGTTTTGTTAGCAGCTTAGAGCAGACCAGCCAGGTAGACAAGAGTTATCCTTGGTGCAAACGCCTGAGAAGCAAGTCTCCTGCCCCGCCCTGGTGGGGTTTGGGGCCAGAGGTGGCTCACCACGGCCAGGGTTCAAAGGGAGGCAGCTACCTCACAGCAGTCTTCAGCCCTGCCTATACTTTAGACTCACTGGGGAGTGTTGAGACAAATCACAGACACTTGGACTCCACCCCAGACCAAATGAATCAGGATCTTGGGGTTGGGGGGCTGGGGGAATGAGGTCCAGGGATCAGTATTTTTAAAGCTTCCCAGAGGATTCTAATGTGCAGCCAGGGCTGAGAACCAACTGCCTGGAGAGTAGAAGAATACAGAAACAGGGTGAGAGCAGAAGAATAAAGAAATAGGGTGAGAGCAGAAGAATAAAGAAATAGGGTGAGAGCGGAGCCAAGAGAGGAGAAGGCTGCAGTGACAAGAATGATAAAAGGATCTAGAGTGACTTGGGAAGAGGGAAATCTAGTGCTATGGGAATTCCTTGCAGCACACAGGGAAGTCCTGCCAAATACTGCATACCTTATAGGATCACCTGGCCCCTATTAAGCATTCAATAAATGGTAGCTAGCTATTAAATTATTATTCCTAGAAATTCTTCAATTATTTAAACATTCTTCCTTATTTGAAAATTGTTTAACTATAGAGAATTGTACAATCTTTTGTGTACCCACCACTTACAAGCGTCAATATTACTGAACTGGACCTAGCAATGTTAGGGAAAAAAACTCTAGAGGATTCAATACATTCATACCCCAATCTGGCTGAGATCAAGCCTTCCTGGGTTGTTCTGATTGGGGTAGAGGAAGGAAGGAGAGGTAATTTTTGGAGCATTTAGGAAAGAGCAGACCTGGATGGGGTGCAATGGTGTTTAGTAGGGAGGTGTCGGGTATGGGAAAGAGAGTGTCTGAAGGTGTGGGTCTGACAAATGAACTGTCCTGACTGGCCCTGCCCTCTATATTCCTCCTCTTAGACCATAAGGAAGGTCCTTAATCCCTTCTGAATGCCTACTTCAGAAAATGGAACTCAGGAGGGGAGAGAGCACTACATCTCTCCCATCCCATTAGCTTCCAAAGCTAAGGTGGAAAAGCTCAGTAGGAAACAAGAGCCGATTTCTCTAGATCCGCGTCCTTAGGGAACCATTCATTATCTGATGATGAAGTAGGAACCCTCTTGTTGAAAACCCCTTTGATCTCTAACCCCGGATTTTCAGCCTGACTTGACTTAAAGCCAGTGCTGAAAGGTAAAGACATTCCAACAAACAGCCTGAGTTCCTGCCCTGAGACCACTAATCAGTTTTATGACCTCAGGCATGTCACCCCACTTGTCCAGAGGTGTCCTCATCTAAAAAATGAGCTTTTCAGGATTAGAGGATCCTAAGTGCCAGGCCGGGATGAGATAAGCGCTGGTGTCAGAATGTAATAAGTACGCTGCTTCTCTCACCGAGAGAATATTGCTATAGGACACTCTCCGTCTCCTATAGCTAACAGCCCCAGGGAGGGCAATGTGCCGGCTTCTCACTTCCTATTGAACAAGGCTTTTGGCTTTTCCACAATACTGCAATGTGTAATTGGAAATGAGGACAATATGGTAGTGGAAAATTCCTTTCTTATTCTCCTCTGCAGGAGTCATAGTAATCCCTATGAATTGTAAGTATATCACCAACGTACTTCAGCAAAACTTTTCCTTTTGCATTTCTTCCACTCCTAGGAGAACTGCTCACTCTAAATTCCATTTCACCTTTGCTAGTTCTTTTAGGTTAATTTCAGTTAGAGAATGTGCCTTCCTGTTTGATCTTTGCTGATTCATCTTTTGTTCTTTTTTATGCCCACAGGAAGGTCTTACTTACTCTGGGTCTGAGCTACATTAAATCCTTTCTGGAACAAGGTGAGGTATAAATAAAATAAGAGTTCCTCTAGTCTGAAACAGTAATTGTTCACAGCTCTAAGGGCAGAAAGAAGAGGATTATCAAGGGAACTAAATATCAAAGATAGCTCTCATAATCAATATTGGCATCTCATTTTTGTGATCTATTAGGGTACAAGAAGTATATATTAAATTATATTTAATTTACTCCCTTAAATTTCCTTTTTAAAGCAGTTGTTTTCAAGCATATAATTGTAATTACATTTTGGTCATTTTACATCTTTATTCTTTTTAAAATTAGATTACGTTAGCCTTTGTGATACAGATAATTGCTGGAGGTACTAGTTCATCAGGATCCAACCCAGTGCTCTGTATAAGACTCTGGAGACCAAGCTACTCTTACCCTCTCATTTAGAACTCTAAATTCTTTAATGTAAAATAGAAGTTTTATAAAATAAAAATTTAAAAATGTTTATCTGTATACTATCCCTTTGTAAGAACTCGAGGTGTTCTTGGAGATTTTTCAAAAAACCAATTAATGTGATGGGTAAAAGTTACTGGGTTTGTTGCATTCTTTCAAAGTTAACTTCCAATTAACTTCCATTTAACTATGCTAAGGGTAGAAGGTTTTTCAAGCTTCTTGCTCTTTTCTCTCCTCCTTCCTTGTGTTGTGTTTTAAGATTCTATCCATAGACTTCCCCCTTTTGCTGTTCAAGCCGTCCCTGAGCAATCTCAACCACTCCTGAGCTCCAGATTTCACTTTGCACCAACAATCTGTTTCTTTCTGTAGTTTGTACATCTCTCCTGAGGCCCAGTCTACGATACCCAACTGTTTATTAGAAATTTCCACCTGGATGATCTCAAAGCACCCGAAATCTCTAAAACTGAAATTTTTTTTCACCAAAAAAATCTTCAAAATCCGGCCCAACCCCTCTAGAAAAATCTCTGTCACTTCCTGAACAAGAGGGAGTATAACATAATGGTCAAGACCATAAGCACACAGTCAGACTACATGGGTTTGAATCCTGGGTCTGAATTTCCTGGCTAGGGTGTGTTCTTTTTTTTTTTTTTTTTTTTATTCTTTTATTTTGTGGCTAGGGCATGTTCTTAACCTACTTGTGCCTCACTTTCTTCAGCTGGTAAATGGGGGTGATGATGGCTATGCTTAACTAAATCATTGCATTGTTACTGTTGTTGAACATTAAATACAAAAAGACATAACTGATGTATCCTAAGGACTCAGTAAACATTCAATAAAATCATCATCATTATTATCCCTTCACCAGCAAGGACATGCTCTTACATATCTCGCTCTTTATGCTGAGAAAGCCTCTCTATTCCCTCTTTTGCTTCAATACCACAGCCTTCAAGATCCAACTGAAACTCACCTCCGCTATGATTTTCTTGCACCTCCCCCAAGCAGTTCGTTATGCCCTCTCTTTAGGCTCAAGAATCTTTATACATCCTCTTACAATTACATTTAGCACACTGTATTGCATATATTTTCAAATATCCAAACTCTGTCCTACAACTTAGTGAAAGCTCCTCAAGGTTAAGGTTGCATCTAGTATCGTGTACACTCCTCACCATATTGTCTTGTCTAGTGTCTAATTTAATAGGCATACAAAACAGCTTTGCTGAATGAACAAATCTTTGTCCCTCACTTTATGAAACCTAATGGACTTTACTTTGCAACACATTATTTTCTTGAGAGCCTCAGACCATGCCCTTCCCATTTTTGTATCCTGGAAGCACCTAGAAGGAGACACAGCAGACAAGAGCTGCTGAGAAATGATTTCGTGGGTCTAGGGTCACAGTGACAAATTCAAATCTTCCCCTTTAAGAGTACCTGCCATTGGGCGCCTGGGTGGCTCAGTCGTTAAGCCGTCTGCCTTTGGCTCAGGTCATGATCCCAGGGTCCTGGGATCGAGTCCCACATCAGGCTCCCTGCTCAGCAGGAGACCTGCTTCTCCCTCTCCCACTCCCCCTGCTTGTGTTCCTGCTCTCGCTGTGTCTCTCTCTGTCAAATAAATAAATAAATTCTTAAAAAAAAAAAAAAAGAGTACCTGCCATTTGTCTACAAGATTTCTAAAGGGCTGGACTAAATAAGGAAATGTGAACCTTCACATCAAACTATTTATTGTGAAGTGCTTGAGAAAGAACATAAACATTTTATAACTTTAGTTTTTGAAATCATATTGATCTTGATTCCCTCCAGGACCCAAGTCCCTGTAAAGCAAAGTGCAAGAGCCCTTTTCCCCCTAAGTAAAGTACTGACATTAGCAACATGATTACACATTTTTATTTCCAGCATGACTTAATTATTTGTAGTCTTAATATCATTCTCTATCAATGACTCAAAAAAAAAAGTTTCTTTCAATTCTGGTAGAATTGTCTTTGACCTGTTGGAGTGGTAAGGGATTAACAGTTGAAAATCTTCAAAAAAGTTTCAGTCAATATGAGTTCTCACTCCAACTCACAGGTTTAACATCAGATAGAATGATGATTTTCTAAGAGGTGGGAGAACCTCTAGCAAAAACTTAATGGTTTAGAGCAAAAAAAACCTGAGTAAATAAAATGATTTAAATAATATTTCCTCTATGTAAACTTTGGCTGGCAAATAGGCATATAACATACAGTCAATCCATTTCATGACAAAAGTAAATTTCCTAAGTGAAAAAAAAGTATCACCATATTGGTTGATTTGTTTTGTGTCAGGTAATTTTTAAAGAAAATGTGTTTTATATTAAAAATAATGTAGATTAATATCTACTGATGTTAAAATACAGTAAGTATAAAAGTTATAAAATAGAACTTTAGCTTCTATAAAAATAGAAATACATTACATATATTTTACTTATGATGGACAATTTGGATATACATAGGCTAAGGGAATTCCCCTTGTTGTATAATTACGAGTCTTATAAATTTCCTTTTCTTGTTGCTTATCTGTATTTTTCCACAGTGAACTTTATTGTACACAGTTATTTTAAATAAAGAAGGATGTGCTTTTCATTATAAAACTAGAAATCATTCTTTTAAAAATTAAGCTGTTGTCATTAATTTAAATTTACTTACCAAGAGATTCTCCCCTGCTACTCCTCTGTTGTTAAAAACCACACATCTAAAAACCAGGAAAGTAATGTTTGTTATTTTTACACACGATTCTTGCTCACAATATAATACATATTAAAATCATCCTAGTGGCACTGTTTTAGGGTATTAAAAGATTTTTTAAAAATCTATTCCACAGACATGAGAATGTGTGACAACTTCACCTAAATGCATTAAAATATATTTCCACTTCTCTAACTTCAATATGTGAGTTCAAATCAGAAAACTGTATATTGAAGTGATGTTAAATTTTCCTATGAAAAGCAGAATTTTTACAACTTCTTCCTATGCATATGTGTAGGCCTCCAATAAATGCTATTAAAACAATTCTAAATATAAGTCAAATTTATTTATTTATTTATTTAGTTTTTATTTATTTAAATAATCTCTACATCCAACATGGGACTCGAACTCAGGACCCCAAGCTCAAGAGTCACACGCTCCCCTCACTGAGCCAGCCAGATGCCCCAGTACAAGCCAAATTTAAAAGTTTTTGCCTCAAACTAAAAAAAAAAAAAAGTCCTCTACCTATCCTATTTGTTTTTTTTTTTTTAACTTTTTTATTTATTTATTCATGAGAGACAGAGAGAGAGAGAGAGAGGGGCAGAGGGAGAAGCAGGCTCCCAAGGAGCAGGGAGCCTGATGCAGGACTCGATCCCAGGACCCCAGGATCATGACCCGAGCCAAAGGCAAGACGCTCAACCATCTGAGCCACCCAGGCACCCTCTACCTATCCTCTTTGTAACATTAAGTATCTATTCCTATTCTAAGAAATAGCTATTATTCCCTCAAGACTTGACAGACACAGAGACTGGAATTTTACCTGAGGTGAAAACATTACCACAGGCAGAGCTGCAAGGAACCTGGCATCTGAGCTGGTAGGAAGGGCCCCCACTATGCTACTGCTTGGTGTTCAGTTGACCTCGGGGAATAAAGACAAATTGTGTTCCCTATAATCTTGTTTGTCTCTCCTGGATCATGGTCATATGCAAAGGGCTTAGAGCAGTGTCGGGTCATGGTAAATACAGGAAAGTTAGCTATTAATAGCAATGGTAATTGTAGTGACATGGTAGCTTCAAGAAGTCATTCTGCATTTAAATTATTTAATTCTCATTTAACTTTCAGTCAGCCAGAACCTCAGATGTATTTTTTGCCATCCTCAAACCAAATCCTGACTCGTGTCTACAGGATTCTCTTTGATTGAGTGAATCTATATTAACATTGATTAAAATTCATTTTGTTTTTGTCTGTATACTTATCCAATCAATCAAGGCCACTTAAGGTTCTAATTCCCTTCTTTCAGGGTGTTGCTGATCACTGTGGGTTCTGACTGCCTCACACAACATTCACAACTAACTCTTATGGTAGGGGGAGGGGTCAGATTTCAATGTGGTATTCAGGATATGTTTCTACAAAGGAATTCTTTCTTTCTTTCTTTCTTTTTTAAAGATTTTATTTATTTTTTGACAGAGAGGGACAGGGAGAGAGGGAACACAAGCAGGGGGAGTGGGAGAGGGAGAAGCAGGCTTCCACCAAGCAGGGAGCCTGATGCAGGCCTTCATCCCAGGACCCTGGGATCATGACCTGAGCCGAAGGCAGACGCTTAACGACTGAGCCACCCAGGCGTCCCAGGAATTCTTTCTTTCATCTGAAAGTTCATATAAAGAATTTTATTAGGCCCAAATGAAAAAAAAGGAAATGTTTAAAATATCAGGAATCAAGGGCGTCTGAGGAGGAAATGTACTGACCTCTCCACAGCCTTTGTTCCTAACAATTTTCAGTCAGTAGCCGTCATCACTGCATATACTCCTCGCCTTGGAAATTGGGCAGAGAGATAAGGAAGACTGGAGAAAAGGAGCTACAGAGGAAGGCAGAATGATGGCTGCCATTCTGTCTCTCTCTCCCACTCCAGCTGGTGACAAGTAACCTGCTTTTTCTTTCATCTAACCCCTTTTCTGCCCTGACAGTCATCAGGGAACACTACATATAAAGCTAAAAGAGCTGGTTGTACAAAAACTACTATTACTAAGACATTTGATAAGCCTCTGTTAACTTTGTAATATCTCTCTCCAAATAATTTTTACAATTTCTCCCAAATTTTTTGATCTGTGATTTTGTTTTATTATTTATTTATTTATTTATTCATTCATTCATTCATTTATTTTAAAGATTTTATTTATTTATTTATTTATTTTAAAGATTTTATTTATTTATTTGAGAGAGCGAGAATGAGAGAGAGAGAGCACATGAGCGGGGGGAGGGTCAGAGGGAGAAGCAGACTCCCTGCTGAGCAGGGAGCCTGATGCAGGACTCGATCCCGGGACTCCAGGATCATGACCTGAGCCGAAGGCAGTCGCTTAACCAACTGAGCCACCCAGGCGCCCAAGATTTTATTTATTTATTTGACAGAGAGAGACACAGCGAGAGAGGGGACACAAGCAGGGGGAGTGGCAGAGGGAGAAGCAGGCTTCTTCCCACCAAGCAGGGAGCACGATGTGGGGCTCGATCCCAGGACCCCGGGATCATGACCTGAGCCGAAGGCAGACGCTTAACAACTGAGCCACCCAGGCGCCCCTGTGATTTTGTTTTTAATTATCTTAAGCCTTATCACATAATTTACAAATTTGTGCTGCTGATATACCTCCTCACTTTAACCCTTCTAAGGAGTTGGCAAAAGCACCATGACCAATCGTACAGATAAGGTAATTCCACAGTTATGTTTTTGAATAGCTGTTTAGAAGACAATCCTGAATTATAACTTGGTCTGACTTACTAAAAAAATTCACAAGCCAAGTCGGCTGCTATATTGTCACACTGAATCTTAAAAGCATCTGACATTACAGATTATCTATGAAATGTGACAAGTGTTAAATATCCTTTTTTTGATATTATACATAAACCACACTAAAATGCCTTTCATTAAGCAAAAGGCAACATTTAAATGCAGGGGATTTTAATTAAGTCGTCATAGTTAAGACCAAAAAGATAAAGTGGACATTGCCAACTGAACTTCAGCCCTTGCCTTTAACAGGCTAACGAACACAACTTGAAACATAGCTGAGTCTTGCTGTTCTATGAGACGGTGAAGGGATTTCCTTAGTATTTAAACACATTATTATAACCAGTTACATAAATCTAAATATAAAACCAATCTCCTATAAGTTAGGAGATGGCATTTACCATCTCTGTGAAAAGCTGAACATTACTAATCAACTCCAATCATATTTTTAGAAGGGGAAAACATGACAGCACTTGCTGAACCAGAATTACTATCAAAGTTCAAAAAGCTGATCCTATTCATTTAATCACGAGCCCATCTTATTTAAATCAGGACTGTCCAAAAGAAATATTCTATCATCCATTCATGATCTGGATTCTGGTATATGAGATCAATTTAAAGATGGTACACATACAAAAATCATAAGACATTTTTGTTTTGTAATAAGTAAGGCAATGGCCAACTATTACTCCTTATTAGCTTTTTAAAAAAAGATTTTATTTATTTATTTGACAGAGAGAGAGAGACAGTGAGAGAGGGAACACAAGCAGGGGGAGTGGGAGAGGGAGAAGCAGGCTTCTCTCGCTGAGCAGGGAGCCCGAGGGAGAAGCAGGCTTCCCGCCAAGCAAGGAGCTGGATGCGAGGCTCAATCCCAGGACCCTGGAATCAGGACCTGAGCCAAAGGCAGACACTTAATCAACTGAGCCACCCAGGCACCCCTCCTTAGTAGCTTTTTTGAGATAAGCTATCAAGTCTGCTCTTTTCCTTGTCTCCTTAATGCCAGCAAAGATCATTTTTTTTTGTTTTGTTTTGTCCCAGGGATGTACTTCTTGGGATTCTCCAAGAATGTTGTTCTTATTGGCATCCATGTAAGAAAATCTAGGGGCCTGATGCCCAAATAAACCATGCAGATTTGGCCCAGTCTTGTGCTTGCCCCCCTCTTCCATGGTATGACACTGGGCACATTTCTGAACAAAAGACTTACCTTTCTCAATATCACCCATTTTTTTTTCATTTTTAAAAAGATTTATTTATTTATTTGAGAGAGAGAGAGAGAGAGAGAGCACGCATGAGCACGGGGTGGGGCAGAGGGAGAAGGAGAAGGAGAGGGAAAGAATCCTAAGCAGACTCCCTGCTGAGTGCAGAGCCTAATGTGGGGCTTGATCTCAAGACCCTGGGATCATGGCCTGAGCTGAAATCATGAGTCGAACACTTAACCAACTGAGCCACCAGGCGCCCCTACATCATCCATTTTTTAAATTACTCTTTTGTCATGCACAAAACAAAGGTGTCCACTCACAAGGTCTATGTCCCACTCTCTAAACTCTCCCAAATAATTTTAAAAGTTACAAATATGAGGAAAATTATTCTGCAAAAGTTATTTTTCCTATGTATTTTAGCTATGTTTTTTAAAAGGTTTTATTTATTTATTTGAGAGAGAGAATAAGAGAGAGAGCGAGCATGAGGGGGGGAGGGTCAGAGGGAGAAGCAGACTCCCTGCTGAGCAGGGAGCATGATGTGGGACTCAGGATCATGACCTGAGCCGAAGGCAGTTGCTTAACCCACTGAGCCACCCAAGCGCCCCATATTTTAGCTATTTAAATGTTCTTCTCAAAACAGGGAAATATAATTAAAGAAATACCAAATAAAGAATAAATCTGGTATTAAGAACTCTCTGTGACAACAGAACATGTTAACCAGGAAAGCAGGTAAGTCTTTTTTAAGGAAGGTTTAATAAAGGGTATAGAGCTACTGTAGCACAGGATTTCTCAACCTTTAGCACTGCGGACATTTTGGACTAAATAACAGGAGTGGCTGTCTATAGCCTCCTTGATTGAAAACCTCTGTTACAGTGAGATGGACCAGATAGCCTTGAATCTGCTTAAGCCTCGTGATCTGCCAGAATAAAAGAATTTTATCAGATGACCTTAAATATTTTCTAGTTCTAAGATTCCACAAGTCTTTGAACCTAAGAACAGAAATAATAATCAGAGGGTGGAGTAAGAAGAATA